ATTTCTGTTGCTGTTATCATAAGTATCCAATATATGAGACACATTAACTATTATTAATGGGAAAAATCTCAATGCCATTACCACAGTTTCAAAGGAGTGGGGTTTTCCTGTTTGCCAAGGGCTCTGCTCTAACACTTAAGTCAGCATTTTAATTTTGAAAAAAATGTTTGCCATATACTCAAATCAAAGAAAAGTGAACATAAGAGTCCTTTTAATTTTTTTCTATTAGATGCCAGAAAAAATAACAAAAAATGTTTCCTTTATTGATTTTTTTCTCAGTATGGTGATAATAAAGCTAATGAAGACTATTCTTATTTATGGATACGTCAATCTTTATTGATCTTTGATCCATCTGAACTTCTGTAGCCACACAAAATTTAACTTTTTATAAAATATTTTTATTGATTTTTAGAGAGAGGGGGAGGAGAGAGAGAAACATTGATGTGAGAGGGAAACATCAATTGGCTGCCTCCTCCATGCCCCCCTACTGGAGATCAAGCCAGCAACCCAGGCATGTGTCCTGACCTGGAATCAAACTGGAAACACTTTGGGGCATTGGATGACACTCAACCAACTGAGCCACACCAGCCAGGGCCAAAATTTAACTTTGTTTTTAATCTTTATCCAAGGATATTTTTTTCCACTGCTTTTCAGAGGGAGTAGAGGGGGGGAGAGAGAGAGAGAGGAACATTGACGTGAGAGACACACATTGATTGGTTGCCTCCCACACTCACCCCCGACTGGGCCTGGGCGTCGAGCCTGCAACCGAGGTACATGCCCTTGGCTGGGATCGAACCCANAGAGAGAGAGAGAGGAACATTGACGTGAGAGACACACATTGATTGGTTGCCTCCCACACTCACCCCCGACTGGGCCTGGGCGTCGAGCCTGCAACCGAGGTACATGCCCTTGGCTGGGATCGAACCCAGGACAACTTCAGTCGTGGGCCAACGCTCTAACCACTGAGCAAAACCGGCTAGGGCCAAAATTTAACCCTTAAAGCAGTGATTTTTTTTCCTTGTTCCTTCTGGTTCATATTAAATCCTTGCTAGCCTTGTTAAGAGTCATTTATTTATCAATATAGCTCAATAAAGAAAAAAATAACTTTGAAAGTCACATATTACTTCTGAATACTCACCAGTACTAGGCACAGTTAAAGATGCCCCTCAAATGTATGTTTGCTGATTTTGATTGTCCAATTTATCTGTGTAGTTTGGGCCCTCTAGGGTACTTGATAAGCTATTCATTTATTTAAAACCTTTACAGTATTCCAGGCACTGTTCCAGGTGCTGAGAACAGAGGGTTATCAGGAGAGAACACACGAAGACCAGAGATGGCTCTGCAGCCTGCTTCAGGAAGCACCAGAGCCGTTCACGGGGAGCTGTTCTGAGGCTGGGAATTCATTTAGGCAGTGGCGACATATCATTTGATTGCTCCCTAAGAAATAGGTGGCTGGCCCTAGCCGGTTTGGCACAGTGGTTAGAGTGTCGACCTGCAGACTGAAGGGTCTGGGGTTCGATTCCAGTCAAGGGCACGTATCTTGGTTGTGGGCTTGATCCCTGACCCTGGTCAGGGCGCCTGTGAGAGGCAACCAATTGATGGGTCTCTCTCCCATCGATGCTTCTCTCTCTCTCTCTCTTCCTTCCACTCTTTCTGAAAAGCAATGGAAAAAATATCGAGTAAGGATTAAAAAAAAAAAGAAAAAAGAAATAGGTGTCCGCTAAGATTTGAGCACTATTCCCATCTTTGATCCATTATTTTGTGACCTCATGGACACCCCCTTATCGATGGCTTCTGCATATTCATCACTTCTCTCGGCCCATGGCTTCCACACACTGACTTCACTGAGTACAGCTTTTGATCTTCTTTGCATTTGCACAGAAATTCCCCAAAGAGAATGTGATGAGTTGAGGTTGGTTGAACTTCTCCTACTAGTTCAGTGCTCGTTCTAGGACCCTCTTAGAGATTGCTGGCAAGCCGACATCGGCCACTCTTGGCCCAGGCACATCCTTTGATCCAGCTGTGATCAAGGCTGCTGGATAATGTATTATCATTTTAGGATCCCTCAGGAAGTTTTCCCCACAGCCTGAGAAATGGGAGACATTCTGCCAAAAGAAGACTGTTCATTTGAAGGTTCACTTTTGTGAAATTTGTAAATATCCAGCAGCTAGAAAAGTGCTTAGGTCATAGTAAGTGCACAATATGAATGAAATTAGTTCATTAATCTACATCTGGAAGCATTAGATATATTTTCATCTTAATGACACATGTGATATACTGTCTTGAGCCTAAATCAGTTTTGTAGTCTTATTTGAAATGATCCAATCTAGATTTTAAAAAATTTAAAAATTCTGGTATACTGTTACTTCTTTGGTGTTAAATACCCTGGGCTGAATTTATTTCATTATTTCCTCTCCTCTATAAAATTGGTCATTTGATTCTAAATTTACTTCTGATATTATATTCTATGCTTAGATGATTTTTCCCATAATGAAAATTGTTATGACCTTACTGATTGCCCATGAAATAAAACCTTTTCTAAGATTCTTTAACCTTGCCTGCAATGTTTTGATCACCTCTATAAATTTTCCTGTTATGTGGCCATGGCATTGTAAAAACTAATGGGGCGATAAGTATAATTTCAAACATAGGCAGAAATTTTACTGTGCTTGCCTTGCATTTGGCTAAAATGTGGATGTTGAAAAAAATACAATTACGTATTATTTTTCAGTTCCACTGATGTCTTGTCTCCTTCTAAACTGTGTCAATTCTCACTTTAAGGTCCTTAAAAGTGTCACATGGCCTCTGTTGCAATGTGCCCTACTCATTTCCATTACATTATTGCACTTTCCCAACCTCTGCTCGTTGACATTCTTAGTGAACAGTCACAAAATCATTTGCTTCTCCGATTCACAGCTTGACCCCTTCAGTGGCTGCACTTCCTTTATTCTTTGAATAACCTATTTTTAAAGGAGAATGATATCATGGACTGAAGGACTCAGACGGCTTCCTATTTTTTCTTTGGCACATATAGAAGTTTAATAATAATGCACTGGGAAATGGGGAAGTACACAGACCTAATAGGTGTGCTAATACACTCAGCAGCTTGCATCTTTCAAGAACATTTTGAGAGAAATTATCAGTGAACTAGACACATATTAAAGCATAGATGAGCATAAACTCTATATCTCCCAATATAGGGAAGAGGATTACAGTTGAGGAAATATTTGAAGACAGACACTGTTTGGTTGGCCTTTTTCAAAAAATATATTATTTTTATTGATTTTGGAGAGAGAGGAAGGGAGGAGAGATAGAAACATCAATGATGTGAGTCATTGATCAGCTGCCTCCTGCACACCCCCTGCTGGAGATCAAGCCTGAAACTTAGGCATGTGCCCTGACTGGGAATCGAACCTCAATCTCTTGGATCCTAGGTTGATGCTCAACAGCTGAGCCACGCCGGCCGGGCTGGTTGGCCTTTTTGATTAGGGAGGAAGCATGAAATATTCGCCAACACTTTCTATACCATTCCTAAAATCTTGGCAAAGTTCTGCTATTAACATGACAAACTCTGTCACTGTTATTGATTATAGCTTATGAACACATATTTCTTAAAACCCTGAAGCAAAGACAAGTCCTTTGTTACTTAAAGGTAATTGAAAACCTAATACAGGCACCATGGCCAATTTGTCATTTCCCTGCTTTTAGCACAGAATACAAAAAGTGATGCCCTAGCTAACTTGCTCAGTGGCTAGAGCATCGGCCCTTGGACCGAAGGGTCCTGGGTTCAGTTCTGGCTAAGGGCATGTACCTTGACTGCAGGCTCAATCCCCAGCCCTGGTCAGGGCATGTGCAGGAGGCAACCAATGTGTCTCTCTCACATCGATGTTTCTCTCTCTCTCCCCTTTCCACTCTCTCTGAAAAGCATTGGAAAAATATCCTCAGGAAAAAAGTGATGACAAAGAGGTTATTGTTCAAAACATCAGTCTTAATATTTTTCCATAGACTTGATAAAATTAAGCTTTTTGAATGACAGAAACTTAGAGCATTGCATTAAATAAAGCACAGATTATTCGACAGGGGTGTTCCTGGGTAATGGGTTTTACATTGAAAGATGATAGATAATACACATATACACACAGTACCTTCATTTATAAAAAGGTGTTGAAGCTACTGGTTTTAATCCTCTAATTGTTTTGATGGCCAGATCTTCAAAATGTATTCACCAAGTCACCTAGCATAAAGACGTCAGAAAGATTTTTAGGTTTGGCTAATGGTCATGTATCGGGAGTCAACTGCTGACTCCTTTTCAGATTTCTGCACATTTCCTCCTGTTTGGTGCCCATGCTCCCATATGTTCCACTCCTACTTCTGAGGCTTCCCAGTGAGTGATGGATAGTCCTTTCATTCATGTCTGCTTGAGGATAAGAAATGAGTTCTTGATTTCAAAACGTGCTTCAAGCTTGCTGCTTAACTGACTTTTACCTTTTTAAATATAGGTGCCCTTCTGATAGACTGAATTATTATTCAGACTTACCACACATGAGAACTCATAGACGTAACAGTGATATTTTATGTACTCATTAGTCTCAAATCATTAGCTAAATTGTAGCATTCGTGGTCATGATCTTGGGCCCCTAAGGTCCTGTTTCTCAGTACGTATCCTGGGGATCCAAATATTAGGTCCCACAGAGATTGGAAAATGTTGAGAGACAAATGCTATGTAAATATATAGCGGTATCATCTTCATTTTTTCACTGAATCTCAAGGAACACTGTGGATTCTGAACATGGTTTTGTTTTGTTAATATTAATGATACTAATGTCTTCTCTGAATCAACAGAAAGCTACCTAAAAGAGCAGGCTATTAGGTAGTTTGGGGGCTAAAGAGGCCAGGTCTTCTCACGCTCCCAAGGATTTGGCCCTGCTGTGAGACCCAAGGGCTTCATTACACTTTGATAATAAAAAGCATGCACGAGTCATTAAAAATATAGACAAGGCTTTATGTTATATTTATTTATTTTCCAGCTTATACAAACTGGATGTAGAAGCATAAACATAGTACATTTCTACCATCTTCAACAAAAATATAACCAATATGTACAATTATTGTATTAAAAATACAAAAGGGATACAGACTCCACCAATGTCTTTCTAAAAGACATACAGGTACAAGTAGTATCAAAAGTATGAGGAAATCACCAGTTAATTGTACATTCTGCACGTGACATCACAGAGCGAACTGAGATTAGCAGTCCTATGTTCTACAATTACTTAATGCTTAGATAACATTTGTGCAACTTGTGGTAGAGCTAGATTTCTGTCTTTCTATATGCACATGAGGTCCATAGCCTATATAATAAAACTGGCAAATAATGCATATTACATGTAAAATTACAAATGCTTAATTGACAATGTAATATATAAGCAAGTAGACAAATGCCATGAGACAGAAGAGAATTATTAAATAAAGCACTGACATTGTTTGATACAGTGAAAAAACACTGCATTTCGACTTTTTTAAAATTTGAAGCTATTTACGTTTATCTACTGATCAATATGATCAGCTGAATTTAATGGAAAAAAAATCCAAGACCAGCAGTTCCTCACATTTGAGTACTACTCGGATTGGCAGCCTTCACTTTTCCGGAGTCTGTGCAAAAACAACACAAAAATATAGAGTGGAGGGGTCATTTCAGTCATTATAGGGTTAATAGCAGCTGTGAGCAGGTGGTTGCTACACTTAGGTCTTCTCTACCCATCCGTCCATTAAGCCACTTCCAGGCTAGTCTTTGGTGACTAACCCACCTGGCAAAGGCTGGCGCATCTCACCAGGTTTTGGATCTTTTGATCTTTGACCATGTTAAAGGCTTGTTTATTCCCTAATGCCAATTCAGTAAAAGGAGGCTGTCCTGAAAGAGCAGTATTAACAGCTGGCATTAGCTCCAACATCCCAAGCTGCTTTCACTGCAATGCTATCCAGTTATAAACGTTTCTCTTGAAAAACAAAGGAAAATCCCTAAAACTAAATTAACAAAAATCAAAGAAACATAACTTAAAAATAAAAAAAGGGGTTTGCCATCCATCTCAATGGAGCAGGACACACCCTCAAATGACACTGTCCTGCACTCCATAAGGCTCAGACACAGGACACAAGAGTCCCATTTCCCTCCCCTGGCCATGTGCAAACAGTTTTACAGAAGAACCCCACCCACTGGGGAAGGAGTGGATGGGTGTCTCGGTATCTGAGTAATTGGCTAACAGTTTATACTTCTCCAGGATAGGGCACTTCACAGGTGAGGCCTGAAGGACACGGGAAGACAGGGTCACAAGCCAGGTCTTCCCTTCTTCTTGGTGTGACCACACCCTGTCCGGCATATTTGGTTTTTTAGAAACCCAGGCTGGCAACAACCCTACTTAAAGGTTCAAAATAATACTGTACTTATTAAATGGATATAACATTTACTCTCTGAACACAATCTTTAAATTCATTTAAAAAAAAAAAGAAAAAAAGAAAGGAGGACATTGTAAACAAGTGGACAAGCACTGTACTCAAAGGATTTCATTGTTTTCCTTTGTCTTCCTTGGTGGGTTAAAGGCCCCGAGAAGTTCAATGGCTAGCTTTTCTCATTACCACAATGAGACCAAGTGCTAGGACTGGATTGAAATCTAAAAGGAAGATTTAAAAAAATCCTTCCAGGCATTGAGAAGTGCAGCCAGGGTGAATCATCTTGTTGTGATGATCTTGGAATTTGGAATGATACTGTGTGATGTGGCAGGCAGCAACAGTGGGAACTTGAAGATTGCTGCACTGTGCATTTCAAGCAACAAAGTCTGAAAAGTGCCAGGGCAATTTCTTCACAGTATTTCACATGCAAAGGGGAAAGGAAGAAGGGGAGAAGAAGCCCCATGCTGCTTTTAAGGCAGGGAAGGAGGCAAACTGGTCCACCATCCTCAGAATGTGAGTTCCAAGGCTCCGATGCTAGGGACGTCTTCTTGTGCTCTCCTTGCAGGTGGCTCACTCTGGATCCAGAAAAGCCTGTGCCTCAAACAGCAGATACTTGTTCATCTTCTGCAAACACAACCGGGAAGGAAAGAAAAAGCGATGAGCAAATAAGTCATTCTTGCGCTGGGAGAAGATATGTTCACTGATGTGCTAAATAAAAATACCATAGCTATTCTTGTTAGTATGCCTCACTTAAAATCCTTCCCTTTTTCTCTAGGTGATGATTATTAATAAAAACTTTAAAATAAAGCATATATGATGCATCTATTTAAATATATACACACAATGCCTGGCCGGCGTGGCACAGTAGTTTGAGCATCGACCTAGGATCCAGGAGATCGTGGTTTGATCCCGGTCAGGGCATATGCAGGGTTGCGGGCTTGATCCCCAGTAGGAGATGTGCAGGAGGCAGCCCATCAATGACTCTCTCATCACTGATGTTTCTCTCTCTCTCTTTCCCTCTCCCTTCCTCTCTCTGAAATCAATATATATTTTTTAAAAAGGAAATAAATAAATATATACACACAATATAAAATGTATCCATTATCTATTTATAGGTTGGAAAGTTAATGAATTCAGTGACAAAAGTTATAAAACAGCATGACTTTAAAAATAATGTACACTCACATCCAGATAAAAAAAGTCTAGAAGAGGCTACAATGAAATGTTAATAGTGATTATCTACAAATGATGAGGATTATAACTAATTTTCATTGTTCATGTTTTGCTTTTTACTGTGATTATTTGCATACCAAAACATGTTAAATGAAAACTCAAAGAAAGAAAGGAGATTGGGGCAGGATCTCCCTCTTCCTCTTCACAGCTGGAGGCAGAATTGTAGAAGGCAGGCAAAAAAGTTACAGAGAAGTGTATTCCTCCCTTTCCTTTGGAACTCATTAAAAGTCCAAATATAACCTTTCCACAGGACACTGAGAATTAGGAGGGAAATCCAGTCATGCACACGCTTCATCACAAGCGACCGCTTCCACAATCTTTAGTATTTCTCGAGCACTTTAGAACACACACACACACACACACACACACACACACACACACACACACACACACACACAGAGAGAGGAAAGCTCTGACCCTCCCTTCCGAACCCCAACTATAAAACGTGCGGGGTGTGTCTGGGGACACAGCGATCAGGGTGTGAAAGCACAAGCACCCCGGCGCGCTTACGGGCGGCGTAAGCGAACACATCTAACTTCAGGGCTTTAAGAGTATGTACCGTCCTCCTCGGTGGAAAACCCCTGGGTCTGATAGGGGGCGAGGCGCGGGTCGCACTCGCTGGGCTTGTGCCACTGGGGCTTGCTC